AACATGGTTTTACTTGTAAGGCGACAAAATTCTAACACTTTCCCCCACACACACAAATTGTACATTTAGTTCTAACAGAATGAAATTACAAGGATCAAGTAAGATGATAAATTGTTCTGAATATACTGTAACTGAAAACAAAAACCTTTATGCGGTGCCTCTTACCTGCAGATAACCGAACATTTGGGTTCTCAAATGCACCATGCAGACATTGAGCTTTTCTGACCATTTTGTAAAAGTTTGAGTATGTCAAATGAAGACTGAACAGAAGAGTTGAAGAACGTCAGAGTTTTTATTCCCAAATAGACTGCTTGGTTCTGCTTTTGCGACGTATTTAAAATCAATAGAAAGTAACACCTTTTCAAGGAGCTACAGCTCACTTCCTTGCTTTTTAACAACAACATTTGGGTGCTCAGATGCACCATGCAGACTTTGAGCTTTTCTGTCCATTCTGTAAAAGTTTCAGCACAACATCATATGAGGACTGAAGGGAACTGTCAAAGAGAACAACCTCAGACTTTTTACCCTAAAATGGACTGTTAAGTTCTTTTTCTATGATGTGTTTAAAGTCTTAAGTTACCCACCTTTTGTTTTAAAGAGCTACTGTTCACTCTCCTGATTCTCAACAAGAACGTCTCTAAAAATGATTTTCTGTTGAGACAAAAGAAACAAACGAGCTTAACAGTAAAGAATAAGTTACTAATGAACTTCTCACCGATGGCTTTGGTTCTAAATGGACCATATAGAAACTTTAAGAAACCTCTTTAAGCCAAGAAGTTGACATATTTTTTGGTTTAAGTTCCTTATTTTTTTTTTATCTTACATTATTAGGTGTGTCTTCCATGATGTTGCAGGGAACATTTTAGATTTGCAGGAAAAATACTTTTGTAACTGAAAAATGTTCTGGTAGAAATGTTTCAAACACTTTAACCCACAGACCATCATTCCTTAATGCATCTATAGGTGGCATGGTCGGTGTGGTGTCATTGTATTAGTTTGTGTTCTCACCTGGGTTCAACATTGACCTGGATTACAGCGGCTTGGTGAGCTTGGGGAGAAATATTATACTTATACACCATCATGTATGTGCTGTTTGACGTATCCATTCACGACTCATCAGTGTAAGTACAGCTTTGCATAAGAACGTGAGCTGTAAAATAAAAGGACATCATAGTGTTTAATGGCTCAGCGTGACGCATCATCAGTAGCTCATACCCCTTGTCTTAGCCTGCCGCAGCGTTTGAATTCAAATCTATGGTTTATACGGCACAATAACAGCCTTATTTGAAAATGGTCTGTTTGTTTGTTTTTAAAACACCTAAAGCTGATTTTTTTTTTTTTGTTGCAAAATTGCAATTTTTAGATAAAAAAATCAAATCACGTCCAAAAGTTTTAAAAGATATTGAGTTGAAGCACTGTTAGGTAGTAAATACATTTCCAAACTCCTCTTAAGTATGTATACTTACATTGGCACTTACATTCTCCTATTCTTCTCCATCAATCCTTTGAAGCTCAGTCTGGCTAGATCAGCAGAGTCATAGGCAGAAATTATTGTGGGGATTTTCTTGAGATATTCAGATGGTCTTAAGTTCAGAGTGTTTGAATATTGCTTATTGCCTTTGTCAGAGGACTCATCAGCAGGCACTTTTAATTAATCTCTATGTTTGCGGCTATTAGCATCTCCTGGAGTACTGGTCGCAGAATATTTCTATGTTTGAGATTAAAACAAACTTTTTGTCTAAGAGCATCATGTATAAGAACAAGCTGAGTCTGACACAGTAGAACTTTATTAGCTTATGTCAGAACAACAAGAACTGACTTACTAATTAAAAACATCCTATTATGTGTTTTCTGCATAATTAATGTTTACTATAATTCGTGTAGGTTAAATGTTCCTGGCTAAATTTATGGTTAATTTTTTTTCATTTTCATAATGTTAGTGTTGTCATGAAACAAGGACAGATGGACCCAGTATTAAAGGCGAGTCAGTCAGTAGGAAAGTTCAAAACGTTTATTATATAAATAAAACCAAACAAAAGCGGAGCTGTGGCTCGCGG